CACATTTAGTGTGATGTCCTTTTAAACTCTTAGACTGGAATGCTAGTAAATTGGAAAATCTATGATGAGAAGATGCTTGGATTTGTATATGGAAGAGGTAGATTTTTCTCAGTGCAGTATTACTATCGTTTTATGAATTGGAAAGGCTTTCTTTAGCTATTTTGTTACGCTTCCTTTCTAATTTTTTAATAGTATGGAAAAACTAATACTGGGACCCATCTGAGTAATGTGTCTTTCCTCTATTCTTTTTAGTATGTTATCATTTGGAAAAATGGATCCTGAAAAATTCTTGAATCACATTCATTACCTACACTGCTTGAAGAATTTGGAACTGAAACTCGAGGAAGAAGATAGAAACAAGATATTGGAAACTTGAGTAGCCTTGCAAAAACCAGCAACCCAAGTGGAACACTACCATTTTCTGTTATTGCCGTGGTCCTGTAGAGGCGGAGGTGCTGTTGGTCGGAGGAGTGCACCCACTGTGTTTCTCCCATCTTCAGAAAGCACATTGTAGCAGGACATTGTTGGGTCCTCCAGTATCTCAGCTTGTTTTAGGAATAGACTGGTCCAGCATCAGTTGTCACCAAGTCCTCCGTTCACACTGTGGTATGTTTCCACATGTCTCTGCTGAATCTCCCATATTCGTCTAGTCCACAGTCTTTGCAACAATGGTTCATAATCCAGAGCCAATGTGAAGGTAGTGAAGGGGAACAGTTGTCAATGACAATATATTATATGACACCTCTGGATCTTGTATATTTGCTCTTTTTAAAAATAATAATAAAATCTCAAACCTCATCCAATCACTTTATCAAATCTTGCTGTTTAACAAATCTCGCTGTTTTTCTTCTTAGTGATGTTGTCTATAGAACATGTGTGACCTCTTTCAGTATATGTCTACATGTCTTTCCAAATAACTCTTGGAAGAGGCTCCCTGAGTGACTGGCACAGGTGTCTGGTTCTACAGTGAGACATTTTACATTTGATGACATCTTACTGGGGAGAGAAAATAGGAACATCCAATTTCAGAATTAGCAGATGAGTGAGACCAAGGGTGGCGGAAAGGGAGAAAGATTTATCCAGTAGTTTTGACCATATACAGCTAATGTCCCAACAGTTAAGTAAAGACCCAAATTTTGCCACAGTCAAGTGGCACAAGTGGTTTGTGATTGGCTGCTAACCTTAAGGTTAAAAGCTCAAGCCCACGCAGAGGCTTCATGGAACAAAAGCCTGTTTGCTGTTTCTGCAAAGATGAGAGCCAAGAAAACCTCATGGGGCAGCAGTGACACATTGAGTCTCCACGAGTCAGGGTTGACTCGATGGCAGCTAACATCTACAGTGGCAATTAAAAAAATCATCCACATACTCAATTCAATAGTTCAGTCATATCAAGAAGAGTTGTGCAATCCTTACCACAATCAACTTTAGAACGTGTTCTTTTTCCTTGTACTCATTGTTATTAATGAAATTATTTTTTTCAATTGTGGCAAAAATCTATACAACAAAACACTCTCCAATTCAACAACTTCTGCATGTACAATTCAGTGCCATTGATTAGACTCTTCATGTTGTACAACCATGATTGTATCCCTCTCCAAATGGTTCCACCACCATTAAAATAATCCCAGTGCCCCGGAAGCAAAAACTCTCCCACCTTTATCCATGGTCACCACTGGTCAAGTCTCATTTCTTTTTTTTAAATGTAGTTTGCTTGATATAATGTTCGCATATCATATACTTCCATAGTTAGATCCTTTTTAAAGTGTTGTATATACATCATCACAATCAGTTCTAATGCTCCTTCCCCCCTCGTGTATTCTTCGATTGCTCCCCAACTCCCTTCCCCACCCCCAATAAGCGATAAACCATTACATCAGTTATTGTTTCTTCATTCACTCCTTATGTGCTTTATAAACTGGGAAACCTAATAGAAACAATAAAAAACAAAATGAAACTGAAA